GGGTTCATATTAATAAAACAACGTAAATACCCGATCCCTAAATTGAATTTTCTAAATAACTCAGATCTCTATTCTAACGAAAATACAAAGGAGCATGCCCTGTTCTTGTTTTTCTACCAATAAAAATTGAATCTTGAAAACCATAAAACTTTAAAATAAAAATTGATCATTGAATACACAAAGATAAAAAAAATGAAAGAAAAAGAATATACAATCTGGTTTCCTGGATTTCTTTGAAGAAGATGAGGCTCCTTCACCCATTGTTACGTCAATCTATACAAAATTAGAAAGGGAAATATAAAATTAATTAATGTAAAATTGTGAATAATTTTCAGAGGGAAAGAAAAAAGAAAAAAAGGGAAATAGGGAAGATAATTTTTCCTTTCTCCCCACTTTATTTTCTGTTTGAGAAATTGGGAAAAGGCTCAATAAGGTTGCATGGCAAAAACTTGTACGTGAGCGGAACTCACTGCCTTCCATCGCCACGCCCCACACCAAAATATAGGGTAATATGGTAAATGCTCACTCCAATCATTTTTACATATATTCATATAAAGTGTATAGTTTACTAAAATAATCATGATTGTTAGTATTTTAAAAATGTATTTAGAACTTATGTTATATTTTTAATTTCATTTGTTGTAGGAGTATTGACTCGACTACATTGCAAGCTTTTTTTTAAGTTAGATTGGATAGATTATTTTTGTCAAAAGTTTTATAATTTTATGACATTATATTTATAATATTAAATTTTTGTGAAACATGTGTTTCGTGATGTTCATAGAAATTATGAATTTTAGTCTTTATGATTAATTTAATTAAAATATATTAAATTGAAAAATATAAATAAATTATTTTTTATAATATTAGTTAAAAACATATGTTTATTAATTAATATATTTTTAATTTTAAAAATTGGGAAAAGGGTCTGAAAAATATTCCAACTTTGGTCGAAATTGCTGTTACAATACCAAACTTTATGAAGGACCTTTTACCCCTGCACTATTTAATAGTGTATTATAAAGATATATATGTGCACACGTGGACACATTACTATTTATAATTATACAATATTTATGATGTCCACGTGGGCACATATATACCTTTAAAATACACTATTAAATAGTGCAGGGGTAAAAGGTCTTTTCCAAAGTTCGGTATTGTTATAGCAATTTCGGTCAAAATTCGGATATATTTCAGACTTTTTTTCCTTAAAAATTCAATATAACCTTATGATTAGGGGTGTTCACGGTTTGGATAAAAACCGATCCAAACCGATAAAATAAAACTGATTTTATTTGGGTTTGATTTGGTTTGGTTTTAGATTTTTGAAAACCGATAGTATTTGATTTGGTTATGATTTTATTCGAAAAAAACCGAAGAAATAACCGAACCGAACCGATGAATTATATACATATATTTTATTAATATGCATACTTAATATATTGTTTTTATAAACAATTTTAAAGATCTTATACATATTTTCATTAAAATTTCTTTATAATTTACTTATTGAAAGCAAAAATGCCCAAGATGAAACATTTATCTTATTGATTTCATGTATATGAGTGTCTATGTCAATTCTTTGTGGGACTGAAAATGTTATTGTCTCTTCCTTCTAGGCCAATATAGTGAATTTTAAAGCTTTATTGATAGTAAATTTAGTGATTGAAAGTTTAGTAATTTAAGTCATTCTAACTATTTTTCGTTTTGAATGGATTGTTGTCACTTTTTTCACATTTTAAATGAATTGTTTCTTTTATTTTTGTGTATGGTTAATAA